TTTTCTCAAATATCAGGTTATCAAGCTGAGCTATGGAAAGATGTTTTAGAAGAAAGAATGAAAAGATCTCTTAGGACAACTGTGTTTTTGGATACTACTGGCATAAATCCATTCTGTAGTAAGTAAAAAATCTTTTTTTAATATATTTTTTATTTCAGAGAGGAAAGGAGAAGGAAGAGAGAAATATAAACGTCAATGATGGGAGAGAATCACCGATCGGTTGCCTCCTGCATGCTCCCCACTGGGGGTCGAGCCCATAACCTCGGCATGTGCAAGTAAATAATAATTTTCCCAACATATTTATAATTAGACAAGAGGAAAAATTTGAAGAACAAGAGAGAATCTTTTAGAAATGTATTACATAATGAATTTATAAGGTGATAGATAAGAAAGCAAAATTATTCTGTTTAGAGATGAAAAGCTTGAAGTGGATTATAAATAAAAGTTTCTAGTCACAGTCATTGACTTTGGTTATTGAGGGATAAATATTTAAAATAGATTCTCATATTTAAACATATGTTTAGGTCAGTTGTTGTACATGTTTTGTAGTCACAGTTGCTATTCATTATAAGATATTATAATTCTTTAAATATTAGTGATGTCTTCTATCACCATTTTTTAACTTAAATTTTTATCAAGTTAAATTTAGATTTACATATAGATATAAGAAATAATACAGAGACCCTGTGTACACTTTATCCAGTTTTCCTCAATGGTAAAATTTCATAACACTGTAAAATATAATATCACTGCCAAGATACTGACATTGATACAATCCATATATCTTATTTATATTTCTGCAAAGAATATGCATGTGTGTGTGTGTGTGTGTGTTTAGCTCTGCACAATTTAATCGCACTTATAGAGTTATGTACTTACAACCATACTAAAGATATGAAACAGTTTTATCACAAGTATTCCTTGGGTGGCACTTTTATAACCACATACAACACCTTCCTTCCAATCAGCTGTTCCTTACCCCTATTATCCATTAATAAATTCCTAATATTATATTTTGAAAACGTTACAAAAAGGGAATAATTCAGTGTGTGACCTTCTAATTGACCTTTTCCCCATACTCAGCATAATTCTCTGGAAGTTCATCCAAGTTTTAGTATGTATGAATAATTCATTTGTTTTTATTGCTGAGTAGTATTCAATGGCATGTGTGTACTATGGTTTGTTTAATCATTCATCTATTGAAGAATATTAGGTTTTGGCTATTAATATAGCTGCTGTAAGTATTTCTGTATAAATTTTTGTGTGAATTTAAATTTTTATTTATCCTATATAATAAAAGCCTAATATGCTCTAAGTGTCTGGTCAACCAGTCGGTTGTTCAATCAATCAAAGCATAATATGCTAATGATATGCTAAGACTGCTCAACAAGTTGCTATGATGTGCACTGAACACCAGGGGGCAGATGTTCTGATTGGTAGGTTAGCTTGCTGCTGGGGTCCAGCCAACGGGAACTGAGCAAGATGGGCCTGACATGCCCGCCTCCGACAGTCCCTCCTTGGCTGGCCAACCTCCCGAGTCCCTCCCCAGCCTGATCATGCACCAGTGGGGTCCCTTGGCCTAGCCGGCACCCTTTTGCAATCCAGAACCCCTCGGGGGATGTCAGAGAGCCTGCTTTGGCCTGATCCTGCAGGCCAGGCTGAGGCATACCACTGGTGCACAAATTCGTGCACCAGGCCTCTAGTCTACACTAATAAAAGAGAAACATGGTAATTGGCATATGACCGCTACCCTTTTCATTGGCTAATCAGGGGCGATATGCAAATTAACTTTCAGCCAAGATGGCGGCCGGCAGCCAGGCAGCTTAAACTGAACATGAGGCTTGCTTGCTTCAGGGACAGAGGACTCCCACCCTCCCCACCCGC